CGGGTGGGAGGCCTGGGATGGTGGATTTCGCGCGGCCGTGGGCGCGGGGGCGAGAGAGGACACGGCTGGTGTAGAGGTAGACGGCGGAGCGCCAGATGGTTGCTAGCGCGGTCCGGACGGAGAGGTCGGGGAGGTGGAGGAAGCTTTGCATTTCTTCTGCCCAGGCGACTGGGTCGAAGGCTTGGATGTGCTGGAGGAGGGCGGTGGGGGGTTGGAGCAGGGGGTTGGAGCTTCGGGAGGAATGTCGAGGAGTAGTTCATGGCCGGTGGGTTGGTGCTGGGGTCTGGGTCGACGCACCAACCTTCGTGGACGAAGAAAATGACTTCGAGGAGGTAGGCGGGACATCCGATCCAGGCGGTTTCTTCGAGACGTTTCAGGGTTTCTGGGCCCATATCTGAGGAGTAGAAGGGTTTGGAAAGAGACCCAGGCCTTGCGAGTGTTGCGCCCATGACTTGCATGCTGGAAAGAGAGAGTTAGCGAGGATGACGGAGTTTCTCTGTGAGTGTTGGCTTACACGAGACAGCCATCAAGTACGAATGCGTCCAACCAGTCGATCATGCGCTGTGTCGGACTAGATGGGCTTTTGCTTTGCCGGCGCATCAGAAGTTTCTTGACGCCTTCCAGATGATACTTCCATGCGCCGTCCCCTGATTCAATAGCATCCATCAAAGCAAGAACCATAATCACTGCTAGTGTCTTGGTGTCGTTCTGTTTGAGGGGGTCTTGCAGGTCCAGCGACAGTTGACGCAGAGTGCGTTGTTTCAATTTTAAGAATTGTTCATAGAACTTGGACGCAGGGCGTCGTGACATAGAACTGATCACCGCCTTTTCAACATCCTGCGGGGATGGAAGGGCCCCAGTGACCGAAGCGCCATCCGACAGCCACGGTGTTGGTGAGAAGTCACAGCTCGCTAGCAACGCATAGTGTAGAGCCCCAGTGGCAGCAAGCGCATGGGCGAGAACGGGGGAGTCACCCACTAAGACCGTTAGATCGCGGTACGGGTTCCTGACGTTGGAATAAAAGGCGAGACAGCCACTACATTCTGGTGGACTTTGAAGAGACAGTTAGCTATATGCATCCGTGTGTTCCCCGGGGATAAATGATCTAGAACTCACAATGCGAGATGTAGAACCTTGACAACGAATCCATGTCTTTGAATAATGGATCAACCATGCCCCGCGGCGAGGGAACATGGTCCACCACGGAAAGGTTCGCCTCTGGAACAACTAAATCAAAGCTGTTTCCCCACTGTGCCGCATGAGGGGTATCACCAAAGGTCGATGGCTGGGGCACATCGTCCGAATCAATATCCAAATTATCTTGACCCTGGGCGTCAACTTCGGGAGGCGGGGGATCGGCGGCGGCAGGAGAACCATCCTCACTACCGCGATCTGAAGTGTTCTGCACAACATCATCAAAGCTGCGTCCCATCATTTTTCCTCGACTGGCCACACCACCCTTTACCCAGACCAGGGGTTTCTGATAGCCCAAGCATTCCTTCCCCGCATCTCGACACTTTCGACAGGTAGGGAGGCCATTGTCGCAGATGATGCGCCGGCGACGGCAGGTGTAGCAGCCTTTGGTCATGGCGCTTTCGAATCTATCGGGGTAACGAGTCACTAATTCAGGGTTAAGAAGCCTAGATCCTAAAACAGCAACTTGAAGCTATTCAAGTATATCGAAGTATAACGCTCGCCATCCTTAGGAAATGGCTACGAAGAATCGGACATCAGCGGAAGACGGTTGCGCCACTCGGACATCGCTGTAGTAGACAAGGGAAGAGAAAGTGATGGGATGGAGACAGGCGGAATCCTCTGTAAAAAAGGCGCAATATTGTCGGAAACTTCGCGGGCGAGATGATGGATAAGCTGATACTCTTTCAGCCCAGCGCTATCCCGTTTGCGGTATGGTTGCCAAGGGGTCCTTAAATCGAGCCTAACAAAGTTCCGTCCCTGCCTGATTGGGATGCCCAGGGCATTCTAGATCACATGCTCCTTCTTTACTTCTACATCACATCAATAAGGTCCGGCAAAACATATATATATATATCTATATATAGCCGATAAGTCCACTTCTATTGAGAAACGCACTACTTCGTGGGTACCAACTTCCACTGTTGGTTTTTCTGTTTATTCAGTGGGAAAACCAGCACAGGAGCGCCATCTTCCTGGCTAATACCTTTGACATCAAGAACCGAATTAGGATGAGCCACACTATGAATACTAAGGGTATCTGTCAGTATACTGCCCTGAAGCATAGTGGTATCTTTTCAAATAGTCTTCAAATCAGTAATATTCACATACAAGTACGCTCCATCTTCCGCGTAGACAAACTTCCACCTGACGTGCTTATCAGTTGGTGACGTGAGATTCCCAGTAGCTGGCTCTCGGTCTTTTTCTGTGAAAAGGGTAAGGTCATCTTAGACAGCAGGAAAGTTCACTTCGTCGTAATGATATCAACAAAGAGGGTGATCGTACCAGGAGCAGTCAAATATGTCCCTGCCTTATCCGCCAGAATGAGGTATTCATCGCGCCCTGCGGCAGCAACGACCCATTTCTGGTCCTCATGGTGCTTTCGCGACCCCCTGTTACGAGGTTAACTGGGTTAGTCTTCAGTCCGGGCATCATAGACTACAGTACCATTGTTGGACTTTGGTATGGTTGGCTTTCTTGGAATCGTCGAGGTCGAGGTATTTTTTGCTGTGCTGGACTTGAATCAAGTATAGACCGGGACCGTTGAAATCATTCAATGGTGCTGCCATCTTTGGATTTGCTATATCCAAATCAAAAGTTGTGAGACTGATTGAGAAGTTTGAAGCACGGACAGTTAATAGGGGGGAAACGACATACTTTAAATGCTATCTTTCCATCACGCCATCAATGTCAATATATTCATTCAACCCAAGAGAGTCAGATAAGGTGATGAGGTCATTGGCAGCATGGTTGAGACATCTTATTCGGCACGTCTTTCACTATATGCAATATGACTCTGCTCCGTAAGCCGGTCTGGGATTTTCGGGGATTGGAACTATGTTTAGAGGTGGAATCTAGATGCTCATGACCTGCATGTGTGCTCATCAGCCCGAGTTGCAATACCACCGAGTCTACTATTGAACCTCGGTGAACAGGAGCCACCGGGAAGAACGGCATGTTAGGGCAAATGTGCTTAAGCGCTAGTGCTTATATGACTATCTTTTCCTAACTGCCAATTGAAGATCCATGGGCATGAAGCAGTGTAGCATCAGTAATTAACCGGAGAGTAGTCGAACGGCCATAACGAATCCATTTGGTGGCTAGTCGGACTTGCCATGGTAATAATAGCATACAAAGACAAGTTTCAAATGTGCCAGGGAGGATCCTCTCAATAGGTTAGTTGCGGCAAGGGGTATAAGATGGTCTGGTTGTAAGCACAAGACCTTGTGATACTCTACAATGCGTAGTATCTCGGCCCTAGGAACGAAGGTGTTAGGGCTTTGGGCGCTTGAAGTTGCAGTACTTTTAAGATATCGAACAATCAAAACACACTACAAGGAACCAGGACAATATGCTAGGTATAACTACACTTTCTTTGTCCGCTTGCATCTTGAGCCACGCTCGGTAATGTCTACGGAGAACGTTTGACAAGCCAGGCCATGCCAATCACAAGATGCAGCGTAGATCTACATGACGTCTCCTTGCCATCTGACATATCCAGCCCCTCATCGAAAAGATGGTCGAGGGATATGCGAGAACGGCGAGTCCACTGATGGAAAGACTGACTCCGCCACCTCCTGTGTCATACCGGAGCTAAGCCGCCAGAGTCGTCCTCCCACCAAGCTGGAAATGGCGACGGTTGTCCGGGAGAACAATGTACGATGAAGCAAGGTCGTGTCGTCTCAGTAGATCTTTGAGAAGCCGAATATGTGATTGTATTCGCCCCTATGTCAAGTTCGATAACTGAACATTATTCATCCTAAACCGACTCTTTGAACCCGTTTCGCAAGATCAGAAGCAAAAAAGAGACCGTTTCAAATGCCACGTATGGCTCCAACGCAAATATGCATCACATTCTCAGCCTCCCTTCGCCACGGTGACCTAGGGGACTCCCGGTCGCCGGACGATCAAACCCTCGCAGAGTGTGTTCTTTACGAGCTGGGGTTGGCGTTCATCTATTGTAACCATCAGCCTCCATCTTAAGAGCCATGCCAAAGATGTTATTTCCATCGCCTTTTCATACCTTGCGCTTGCCACCGGTCATGGTGACGTTGACGAAACGACGGGTGTAGATGATCCTCTTGCGGGCGCGGCCCTTAGGGGTCTTGGGCTTCTCCTGCTTGTCGACCTTGGGAGTGGCGGCCTTGACCTTACCGGCACGAGCGAGGCTGGAAAAAAAAGGTCAGAATCTGAAATTTGGGGATATCTTCGATGGAGGGGTCGATAGGCGAAGGGTTACTTACGATCCGTGGACCTATAACGTTGTAAAGTCAGTAATCAGCATTTCCCCTTGCGAGAAAGAAGGCCTGGACGACTTATTCACATACCTTACCCATGTTGACTGTATTTGGCGGATGAACGGGGAAAGGGTTTCGTTAGGTTTTGTCGATGGTGTTGTCGCTGATGATGCCGACGGATTGTGGGCTCGAATTTTTCAGTGTGGTCACGGGTTTGTGCGCTTGTGCGCTTGTTCGCTGTCTGGCTCCACTTATTTTGGCCCGGAACAAAGTATTGCCTCCACTTAGAATGCCTGGATGCCTGGATGCCTGGCGATTCTTGGCCGGGCTTTGACTCAGAGTTCGGTTGGATTAATGTTGCTCCGGTTGGCCTGTACTTTTCCCATTTCAGTTTAGCATCACGTGTCCACGAGTGACCTTCTCAATTAGGGCATCAATTGGATGCCTGATTACTAGCCAGCTCATTTCGTCCAGCATTATTACCTTGTTTTACCTGATTTCTGAATATGATTGACAACTTGAAGTCATCAAGTGATGGAGACAATGTCTGCTGATGTGTGACGCTTTACTATGACGACTGGAGTGACTCAGTTGAGAGGAGCACAGCTCTCTGAAAAGAACGACTTGCATTATGTAGTATGCATATATCTACAGAGCAGCTATTGAATACATGCTAAGGGGATATCTGCCGTTACCACCTTGGAGTTCGGGGTATGGATGGATATGTGCTAATTCCCTCTCCTTTGAGCTACATTATGGCTGGGACCATTGTCATCAAAGCCCGACCGAGAGTCAGCCCTGTGGATATGGTCTCCCTAACTACTGCCAGCCGTGTCTGCGAGGCTGGTTGCAGGCCCAGTCATGCATCTAGACCAAAAGGTCAGAAGAGATACCGTATGGGATCGAACGGATTCATAATGATTGAGAGCGATAGATGGGCGATGCATAGTAAGTATTTCCCACATGGGACTGTAACCACGGAATAATAACAACAGCAATACGAGGTAACGCGGTTGATTTGACAAGAGGAAGGAGGGGAACTGCTAGTCGATATTACGTACATCGTACAGAGTATGTGCAGTAGCTTTCGCACAGATTGGGGGCCATAGCGTATATCTACTTAGTACTCGCTTCCTGGTGGGTATAGCGCTTGTGGTGAGATGCGTTAACCCGAATAGTCAACCCTTGTAGTCTCATCGGTATTACTTAGCATCTTAAAACTATCCCGATGTTACGCCGAATACATTGGCAGACAATCGATAGCTTACATTGGAAATTAGGGCCCGGCCCGCAAGTGATCTCCAAGGCGGGCTGAGAAGGTCGGGCTACTAGTAGGTATCTACGATCTACTCCAAAGTACTACTACCGACTACTTACAGGGATCGGCGTTTCCGAGATGGCAGATAAATTCCATGAGCTCCAGTTTGGTCCCTTGGACTAACCCAATCAGAGTCAAACATTTCATAAGCACGCAGACTCGGAAGTCAGCTCAACGGGGTACGACCTATGATCGTAAAGTCGACCAGCCACCTGGCTCACATCGATTCGTATTACCTATCTAGAGGCGTGGTATTTGCGTAAAATGGGCTATCGTGCGTCGTGCCAAGCATATATGCCCTACCCCCGTTGCGAACACATCATACATAACCCTCAGTGGAGATGTTTGTTCTTGCTAATGCAGAGAGAGGTCCACCACGATCCAAGGATCCGAAGCCAATACTTCATATCTGGCGTCGTCATCGGTCGGTCTAGATATCAACTAGTGTATGGAGTAGGTCTTAAACCCCGAGAGTGGAGGGACATGAAAATATCCCATGCGAAGCAAAGGTTTGAATGCCGGGGAATAAAGTCTTCCAATAGCAGCCAAAGACCTGAATTACACGTTGTAGATCTGTTAGACAGAGTCCCGAAAGTATATTTTTCAACGAACTGCCCTGAACTGCTTTTGTGGGTGCTCGCCATATCTCCCAAGCGCCACCTTTGACCAGCCTTCGGTGTGATTGTTTCTTATTGGTTTAGGAGGCTGCTGGCGCTTCTGTGCATCATGAGCCCCCGATGTTGGTTTCGGAAACTACAATCCACGGTGGGTATTGGTTATGTGACTGATCCATGTTGCTGTTAAGTGTCTATACTTCAAAAATCATCGTGTATGCAACGCAGAGGCCTGTGAGCAGCTCAACTATGCAGAGATAAGTTGGCCATGAAAGAGAAGGCAATCAATAGTCTGCCTGGTGCATAAGAAAGATGAAAATTATGCCGACAACCAGATCACTGTTTTGCAGCCATGACTTTATTACTCTCGGCCGTAGAAATTCCGATGTATGTATGTACATCTCTCCTTTCCTGGTTGCTGCTACATGTAATGCAAACACCGACCGGCAAATCAACTCAACTACGAAGGAACATGCATGCAGGTAAACTCCACCTACTCGATCTCAGCTCTGCACGGCCCCATTGATTTCTTTCCTGTTCAGGCATTTACTCCATTTAGTCCATGCATGCCATTCACACCATTGATCTCCTTCACCGATCCATTTTCGTGTACTTCATGCTGATCATTATCAGGGTACTCAGCCACCGAATCCTGTGGAGGTAGTTTGGGGCGCGCCAGACTTTTCCTGACCCTCTTCAAAGTCGACACAACACTGGCGGGGTTGGGTAGGTTGGGATTGTCGCCACCCTTCTTGGGGATTGACTCCTTGTCTAGAATCCCGGCTTTGACCATCTCGTTCACACTTGAATGGATCTTGGCCTCTTTCGGGATATCGCGTGGGGCTCCCAAGTTGGGTGGGAATCTTCTCGGAACCCACTCTCCTTTCTCCAGCTCTAATCGCGTGAAGATGGGTAGTATCTCTGCCAGATGCCCATTCAGTACAGTCACAACGCAATGGACAAAGAAAAGAAAAGAAAGACGGGGTGCATACCTAGGATCCACCAGAAGAAAACCATCAGGAATGCAGATGCATGTCCAAACCAGAGACAATCATGGGGCTGATTGGTGCGGTGTCTCACTTCCCATGCGTTGGTCCCCGGCTCTTCCTTGCCAGGAAAGACACTTTCAGCCCTCAGAACATCTTCTACATTAGTCGTTTGAAATTCCAGCTTACTTTCCGAGCCCTCCAGGTGCAGGACTTCCTGGACCATCCAATTCAATGGCGTATCGGAAAGCAAATGTTTCTGGCCTTTCTGAAGACTGTAGCCACCGCCCACGTCGCTGTGGTTTCCCGCAAACCACACTTCCTTGAAGTCGGAGTCGAGCCCATTCTTATCCATCATGTAGAGAGCGGGCTTAAACTTCAGCCGTCTCTCATGGATAGACACCGCATGTCGAATGTATTTTGCGGCTGGCGTCGCAATGTATCGATATGACGTGCGAAAAAGGGGGATTTCAAACTGACCTACACTATTGACACAGTCGAACAAACCAAGGAAGTGTATACCCACGCCCAGTCGGCAAAAAGTGGTCTTGAACTTCTTCATGAACTCGTTCAGCTCCCGATCCTTTTCGGTCTGAGGGTCATTCCCACGGGACTGTTCATAGTTGCTGAACGTCTCCCAAGCGAAGTGAACCATTTCCTCATTTCCTCTGGATAGAAGACCCAATTCATGGACCATCTCCGCGAGGAACCGTGCAGTGTAGGCGCCACGGGAGAATCCAAAGATATAGATATGATCACCTTCAGAATAGTAGCGCATGAGAAAACGATAGCCGGCAAGGACATGGTCGCTAAACGATGATCCAACTGCTTGATCAACAGCACTGATGATTTTGGATTTGATCTTGGGCCAGAATCGAACCAGTCCAGAACTGGACGACTGGCCTTTGACGTAAGTCCCAATACCCGCTGGCAACAGGGTCAGTACCCATTACCTGGCAACGACTATGTATGACTCTGCAACATACGTTGATAATAGTGAAATTGATCTGGGGCGTGTCGATCCAGCATTTGATAAATCTTCATGATATTCGTGTCTGATTCATTTCCCTGGAACTGATTGCCTGTACCGTCGAAACACAGGACAATCCGACGTGGGTTGTCCCCAGGGGCATCAGTTTCGCTTGTCGCGTGTGGCATCATGAAGTGCAAGTTCAGAAATACAGAGTACTAAGGGTAAGAAGGGAGTATCAGGACCAAGGCGTTGTGTTGGGTGACCGGAAATCCGGCAGTCCTAGCTTATGAATATCTCCAGACTTCAGGCGATGTTCCAGTTGGGATACGAGTCTATGAGAAACACATGTGATTTTCAGCTTCATATTGCTTTTTCCCCTATCTATCCATCCTTTCTTGTATGGAGACTATACTCACCCTAAGCATCGGACTTCGCCGCGCTGACTGGTATGCACGTCTTTGGGTCTCAATAGCTGCGAACCAAACGCCGATTCTAGGGATGCATTTCATGCTTGGCCACATCGCCATTGCAGATAGTTCCATATAGTGTAACATAATGCACATCCATGCAGGGATTGCATTCGTTAGAAAAGATGTAGCCATAGTCCAGATGCTCAGCTCGGACTTTCCTGTTCAAGAGAGGTTCTTGATAAGCCAACCAATCCAAGCTAATCTATGAAACTTGGAGGGTATTTGTGGCTGGCTGGATAGTTGATGTGGTTTGTGAAATAAGTAAGTGGAATTGTGGCTAGCTTCAAGCAATGATACCGCGGGTCTTCCCACAACAGACTTACTAGGGTATCGGATGCATGCGCCTGGTAGAAAGAAGCAATTAGCAACTGCAAATAACGAAGGAACTAGTGTGACGTGTTATTCCGGGTGTCTCAGCTCCCCCTCATCAGTTATCCATTGACCTCAAAGTACGTCCGTGAGCTGATGAGCAAGGGGAGAATTGACTTGGCGGGTCTACCTCAGAGTAAGAGCGTAAGTGACACTGTGGCAAAGCGATTCAGCTTCCTCATGTCGATCTATACACGATTGCCATATTCGGTAATCCGATTTCTTGACTGGAAAAGACCCTTGTCGAGGATATCCGGACAAAAGTGGATCTCTCGAGGAGAGATTAGGTATATAACCTGGGAGACTTGACGACCCTCTCCCATTCCCATCGTTCTCAGAGCCTTAAGATCAATCATCATTGCAGAGACT